CCCTCCTCCCCCCCTCCCATGACCTAATTACTTTCCGAGATCCAACTCCTGATCCAGATCGCTATATGGAGGTCAGGCTTAGGTGTAAATTTAGGCCTTATGCCTTCAGGCCTTACAGACACAAATACCCAGATTTACATCTGAACACAGCCCACCCAGTCTGTTCCCACTGACTCATGTCAAGCTTAGTCCGAGGTGGAGACTACTTGTTTGTTCCCTAGTTGCCCACACCCAAAATAACTGCACAGGAATTATATTAATTGCAATACTGTTTAACCAATAGCTTAAGCGTATTTCTAGCTAGCTCTTACATCTTAAATTAACCCATTTCTGTGAATCTGTGTATTGCCACAATGCTGTGGCTTACCAGTTAAAGTTCTAGGTGCCTGTCTCCTCTGGCGGCTACATGACGCCTTGCTGACTCTGCCTACTTTCTCATCTATCTCTACTTGGAATTCCCGCCATTCTCTGTTCTTCCCTGTGAGAGGCCCAATCAACTTCTTTATTAACCATAATAAAACATATTCACAGATTACAGAGGGGAATCCCAAATCATTAGACCACTCAATAAGGCTCTATATGGGTGACTATTTGTAACATGAACGTATTAATTACAATATGTTTCCATTTCATATTACATTTGTGCTATTACTACTTTGACAATAAGTGCACAAATCTAGAAATAGCAAGAAATAGATATGGCAATGTCTTATAAATTCTTTATCCCTAACCCTGAGGAATGATTTTTTTTTATTAATTTGAGTTTTTGTCTTACATTAGGTGTCCTACTCTGCTACCAATTCTGGAGCCAGAATATGCAGTCAGAAAAATAGTGGAAGCTATTCTGCAGGAGAAGCTGTACCTGTATATGCCAAAGTTTTTATACTTCATAATGTTCTTAAAAAGGTAATGGCATCCACCTCCTTGTTTCCCCATGTGCCAATCACCACCTTTTCCACATCCTACCAGGAAGAGCCACTCGGAAAGCACTTGTTAGATTAATGGATTTCTAAAAGGAAAATCTCCACACTGATTCTCATCTCCATGACAATTTCTTCAGTTGCATTGCCCCCCCCCCACCATGATTCCCGAGACCCTCTCGAACAACTTAGCATTATTATCAAAACTTAATGGTCTTCCTAAATGAGCTCTGGATAGCTTTAAATAGATACCTGCTTCTGTTTGGTAACGATGTTCTTACACTCATCTTAAAACGATTGTGTCAGCGAAGATATGGGATCTGTGCTTCCTCCAGTACAGTCAGCCAGACCCCTCAAGAATCTGCAATACTGGTAAAACTGGCAATTGCTGCTAAATTTTATCAACTAGAGAAGAAAAAATCTTCAAACCAGGCAAAAGAGGGCTGGGTCTAGGTTAGTAGTAGATGGCTTTCCTGGCTTACACAAGGTTCTGGGCTTGAGTTCCTGTACCAGAAAAAAAAAAAGAAGAAGAAAGAAAAGAAGAAAGGAATGAGAGAGAAAAGGGAGAGGGGGAGGGAAGAAGAAAGGAAGGAAAGATGAAGGAAAGGAAAAAGAAAAGAAGGAAAGAAATGAAAAAAAACAAGGAAGAAAAGGAAATAAAAGAAGAAAGAAATGAATAAAAAAGGAAGGGAAGGGAGGGAGGGAGAAAAAGAAAGAGGAAGGGAAGAGAAGAGAGCACCATTGCCTACTCCTGTGCCCTACACTGCGCTTCACTGCTGAAACCCAGCACCAACACCTTGAGAACACTGGCCCACGTGCAGGCTGCTGCTGAGCTGCTGAGCCCACTGCTCATTCCTAGTCTCTCAGTTCAGTTTCAGTGATGGATGTGTTTGTGCCTCCCCTCCCAGGGACCACACCTTTACAAAGAACACACTCCACGGCCAGTCACCACTTCCTGTTGAGTGGAATCGGTCTTTTCGGTACCTCCTGTTACTCCTCTCTTGGCCCACCGCTTCTGTACACGGCTCCACTCCCGGTCACAATGACAGTTCTTCAAATGTTCGAGCATAGTCGTTATTCTTTACATTGGCCGCATGGCTAACAGTCACAGACATGCTTTTCCCACTAACTACGTGTATCTACTTAGAAACAGAAAGTGTCCTTACAGCCTTTCCTTTTCCATCCTTCCTCTATCACAGGAGGGAACCCTGCAGCCAAGAGGCTGTGGGAGGCAGCACAAGCGGTCTTTGAGAAGCAATTCGAAACCCAGACTTATGGCCCCACTCTGTATCAAGCCTGTAATTCTTACATGCCCTCTGCTCTCCAGGCCTCAGTTGCCTTGTCCACAATGATAGTTTTTGGCGGTGCATACAGCTTAGATAATATCTGGTTATTGGACAGTGTGTGTTCCCACAGCACAATGGGTAGGGACTTGTGTAGGTGCAGATTGCACTATGACAGAGCTAACTCTAAGAACATGAAGCTTCATTTTTTTTTTTTACTCTGGATCATGATCTATGACTTTTATGGCCTGCCCATTCTGGGACATGTTTTGCTGAAGGACTACATCATTCTGGAGAAGTAGAAGAAAAACAAATGGGTTCAATGAGAGAGAAATTACATGAAACGCTCCTTCAGACACGTAGCGAGCTGTGTGTTAGCCATGCAGCACTCACTGTTCAAGGACCTGGGGTTACATAAGATAGAAATTGGCTTGTCGGGGATAGATGTCATGTGAGAAAAAAAAAGACTAGGTGGGCAAGCTGTTCATACCCATGACTCTAGCGTCAGGGAGGCTGAAGCAAGAAGACTGCTATGTGTCTGCCATCCTGGGCTGCATAGTGAGATCCTGTCTCAAGACCTCCAGCCCTACCGAAAGAAGCTATCCTGGGCATCATAAGTCTTGCATACATATCAAGCCAGGAAAGAGAATCTCAGAACTGCAGTGAGAAGGGGGCGGCAAGCGAAGATTTAAGGACTGGCTGATGGAAATCTCCCTAGTATGTCAACAGTTTACCAGAGCCCTGAAGCTGTGGAACACAGAGACCACTTGTAGACCGTGGCGTGTCAAATAGAGCAGCAGTGGGCCCAAACCCTTTCCCTCACCCCACCCCGAAAACAAATCTCAGGTTCTCTGCAGCTACTGTCAGTTACTCTGAACTGTTAGTTGTCAAGGTCAGCGGGGGGCCGGCAGAGGTATCTGTGTGTCTTCCCAGGCAGAGCTGGGGATGGAAAGCACAAACACCTTAGCTTGGTTGGCCAGCTGCGGGAGAGTCTGTTGTGTCTCATCCTCGCAGTGGTCGTAGGAAGAGGGACACCCTCAGCTTATATATGAGGTGTACAAGCTGGTAAATTGCCTAAGCTGGCATTAAAAGTGCCAGCGGCAGACCCACCTACTCCAACATGTGCCAACAACCCCAGTATCTTCAGAGTACACACACTACTCTAAGTTGGTGATATTTTGGAGACCAAAATGAGTGAATTGAATATCCCAAGCCGTGCAGGAACCCTCTGAGCCCCAGCCCGTGTGATGAGTGCATGAACACGTGACTTCTTCTGCTCAAGCGACTGTCTTCTACTGACCTAGCAGAGATGTGTTCACGGATGGTAACCAAACACGTTTCCTCTTGCGTTCTTTGTAGCTTCTTGCCTGTCAAGACAGGAATGCTGATAGCTGACTATCTGGGAGTCTTCCACGTGATGGATGGCTTCACTGGCCCAAAGAAGAAAGCTTAAAGCCAAGTTCCATGCCCTGTGTCATCTGATGCTCATTGCCACGGCAGGCGTCTATCAAAGAAGAAAGGTGCTTCCGTCTGACCAAACCCAAAGACAAGTATAACCCATCTTCCTCTATGGACCAGAATGTCCTTCCAGTGTCATTCAAATGCAATTTAATTTTTTTTTTTTGGTTGAGTGTTTTCCTTGTTTGTTTGGTGTTTTTGCTGTTGTTTGTTGTTTGAAAAATAAAAATGGCTTTTTTGTCATTTCTATTTCAACCGCTATGTCAGTGAAACCATACACATACAAACAACTAAGACAGATTCAGCAAGTTCTATTTATATATATTGGTGCTTACAGATATATGTGTATGTAATAAATATAACCCAAGAGAATGAGTGTATCAGTGTAAGCAAGGGGTGATGTGAGAAGGGTTAGAGGAAGAGTAACTGGGAAGGGCTGGAGGGAGGAGAGTGGAGGAGGGGTGTTTCAATGTAAGAACATTTTAAAAACGAAACAAAAATTTTAATTCTAGGAGATAGAGGTGAGGTCAATGAGCTGCCCTAATTATGGCAGCTCCTACGGAGCAGGTCGCTGGGGTTGAATCTTGACGGGGCAAAGGAGGTGCCTTGAGCTTCTTGCAGCAAGACCTCTCTCCAGAGGACACACCGAAAGGCGGATCTTCTATGGCCTTGTTCTCACTTTGGGCTCCTTTGAACCCGGGCCACGAGTGTGCAAGGGGCTTACTGCTTCAGTTGTCTGAGCGGCTAAGACAGAAGGAGCTTGGGAAAGAGCATTTATCTAAACTCTCTTGATTGAGAGGACAATCAATAGGGTGCAGAAGTGGCGGTACCTGGAAGTCAGTGAGCAAGATGAATGCCGGTGCTCAGCTTGTCCTCAGCCCAAGCAGCGGTGCAGCCCACGCAGCCGTGCAGCCCACGGGGAGGGTCTTCCTACCTAGTTTACCTCCTCCAGGTAACGTAGACAGAGTGACTCTCACAGTTGGTCGCATCCTGTCAGGCTGGCAGAATTAAGCAGCCCACCGCCCAGTGCCCTGTCAAGCAGCACTTGGTAGACAAATGCCTGTCCGACACAAGGCTCCGGGGCTTTCCTGGCTGTGACATTACTCCAGGCTTTCAGGTGGGATCACATTTTTATCCAAGACGAGATCAGAAACTGGTTGTTTTTTACTCTGAAAATGAAATTTTACTGAGTTAGATTGGTTGTCACTAACTGATCCGAAGGCCACACCCAGAGCGGATTCCACTGTTTAATTTGGTAATTCAAACCCGGATTCACAGCTAGGTGTTTTTCACAGAATGAACAATTTCTTTCATCTGTATTCATTAGCGGCACCCTCGCCTCCACGCCATTGTGTTCTTGAAGTCTAATCAACTGGCAAACTGCTTTCATGCTTTGTAAATTAACTATAAAAGCGAGATTAAGAAACATATGTTAATTACCATATCCCAGCAACTCATTTACCCTGTGGGAGAAATGGGTTCTTTTTTGTATCTTGCCTCTGATGAGGCTGGAAGGGAGAGTTATCTTGGCAGACACTCTAAAAGCCGAAGGGATATAGAATTCAAGTATCTCCTGGGTAAGATGCTCTTGGAGGCATCAGTCACGCAGTGCAGGTGACTGGGTGCTCTTGAATGTTCTTCAGGATCCTAGAAACCGGTTCTGTTCCTTTACATTCTACCTCAAATATCATGCCGCGATAGCAATGATAACTAATATTTACTGTGTCCAGCACTACGCTAAATGCTTCCCACACATCATTTCATTAAACAAAAACACTCCATCGTGCCCCCAAAGAATTTTAAAAAGGGATTTAGTGTATGCCAAAGAATACAAAGCACTTCACTTCACACAGGATCCTCCACCACTGTGGATGCGTAGTGAGAGGATCAAAGCCCCCTCCGACCGACCAACTGATGCTGTAAATCCTTGGCTAACAAGGTTAATTAGGAGAGAGGCACAATATTGCTCCTATACTGTGCTTCTGAGAGCGTGTATTCTGGGGCCTGTCTATTTAGTTGAAGGCTAAAGAAGTGGCTCTCAGGGAATTCAAGCAGAACAAAGGTCCGAGCCTGCGCGGGCACCCACCACATCATAACAGCGCTAACAGCAATTACTTCTAATTGGAGCGCATCTCAGCTGGGCTGCTACAAAGGTCTGAAATTCAATTGTGGTTTTATAATACCCATAAAATTGTCTAAACAAATTCAGATTAACTTGAGGCACTTGTATGAGAAGAGACCACATGTAAATGAGAGGATTCTAGAGGGTGATAAATAACAAGGTAATTTAATGGCCCTGGGGAGCAAGTGTTCCCAGCGTATTTCATACTGGTTTCTAGCTGAGATTCAGTCCTAATAAAGCTATGATCGAGAGCCAATCACCTAAATGAGCCTAAAGAAATGGAGGCTACAAACTACCCCGAGTCCCCTAGACAGGCCACTCTGCCTTCTGAGGCATGCTACCCAGCATTTGGGATACTTGTTGCTCAAAATCCAAGAGGAATTCTCTAATAAGAAGTAATTTGACTGAAATATATATATATGGTCTTTGTAATGTACTGGTTTTATTTTATGGTGCTATCTTTCTTGGTTTGAGTTGCCAGAACAAAATACCACAGACTGAGTGGCTTATACAGCAGGAATTAATTCCTCAGTTTGAAAACTAGAAGTCTAGGGTGGGGGCAGTTGCTTGTGAGGGTGGATGCAGAGAAGGTTCTGTCCGCACAGCATCTGGGTCCCTAAACACCCTTGCTGTGCATCCACACAAACAGAAGCCTTGACGACAGAGGTATGAGGCAGCCCGTCTCTTAATGATTAGTTACTGCGTCAACTCCTGGGACTGTGCTTTTCTTTGCCGTCAGTAAATATTAAAGTCACAATAACACTACAGAACCTATAGGCCAGCTGCCCACTTCTGTATATTAATTGGTTTGTTTTTCCCTTCTCCTAAGAACACTTTCAGACTTTTATCTTCCTCAAGCCCAAACAGTCCCACTGCCTTCTCTCTTCCTCAAGAATATCAGTCTCTCCTGCCTCATCAAGAAAATTGATACTGAAGACTACAAACTCCCTGGGTTCTCCAAACCAGCACCTCCAAGGCCTTGTTTTGCCCCCCACCCTACACACACAGCTTTTCCTCAGCCTCAGAGGAACCAGAGCACCTGTTGCAGACTCCTCCCCAGGCAGTGGTCCCCATGTGGTACCCAGCTTTGATTTCTCTTTCCTTTTCACAAGCTCCAGAAGTTCTTCCCCCCTGTCCCCCAACACCCTGCAGAGAACATGTGTGCTGCAACAGTCCCGCTGTGGCAGAAGCACTCTCTCCTCTCCGTCACCAGTATCATTTACAGTGGGTCCTGGATTAATTGTCCATCTCCACCTCGCATGGATTCCCAAGCCACTTCTGTGTCTTAGTGGATCTTATGAAAAGACCTTCAAGGATTGAGTTGTGCATCAAATGCTACCTCGCACAGCGACGTCACTCATCTCTGCCTTTGGTTCTGAGGTACCCTCTAGCCAACAGACTTTTAACTGCTCACTCTTAATGTGTCCGTGTTCCTCAAAGTTCGTGATTTCCCACTTGACCATCCAATACAGAAACCCAAGTGCATGTTCTGCCTTTCCTTTGACTTTATCCTGCTGTCAATCAAGCTGTCCCACCCTCTCCCCAACTCTGGCAGCAGCTGTCCTCACCATCCAAGCTGCTACTTAGGAGTTCAGGCTCTCATCAGCAGCCCTCTTACAGTTAGTTAGTCAGCTGGCCCGTCTCTACATCAAGGCTTGCTTCCTCTTACAGAATAGGGCACTTGGTTGGCATCACTAAGAACCCCAGTGTGACAACAGCTTGAAGGAAGCAGGCAAGTACTGCTCTCTGATGGTTAAGTGTCCTTAGAGGTGATGGGAGGCGGGACTTCATTTTCTGCTAGGCATTCATCTCGGTTCCCATTAGCCCTTTGTCTCTGGAAGATAAGTTTCCAGTAACCTGACTCAGTGACCTTCCACCCAGGAATGTATAACTGCGACCATTTGCTTGTTATGTTTTGACTAACAGCTTTTCGGTTTCTGTAACCTGCTTGTGCAGACATTCAGAGCCTTGATGACCTAATCTTGGCGGAGCAGAACTGCACTTGACTTGTTTGTACAGATACCAGTCTTCCTGTGGTTTTCAGCTTTAAAAATCCCTCCCTCGTTCCCATTCTCAAGTTTGGCTCAGAGATTACTGCCCTGCTAGCAGTAATCAATAAATCTTTTGTTTATGATTGGATTGAGTCTATAGTCTTTTTCCCATGGGTCAGGAACTACATAACATTTGGAGCAATCCAGCAAGATCCCTTGGAGACGTCAGACTCTAGTGGACTTGAAATTTCGAGAAGCCCAAGACCATGACCACCATAAATTAAAGAGGATAAGATCCGGAGGAAGCAAGTCCAAGGGGGATGGATAGGCCCCAGGAAGCCCACATTGCAACTGCCCCAATTTGCAAATTGAAAGCAAAACCAAAGTAAGAACTGCTGGCCAGCATTCTTTGTAAGCTCAGACCTATTATTGAGCTATTCTCTTCTGTTTTTGGAGTTCAAGGATTTGAAGAGATAAAGGGGAGATGGACATGATCGTAAACCCAGTCAGTATCTGTGGCAGAAAGGACGCGCTACTGTCCTTCTGGTTTAGGTGTATGAATGAAGGTGGTCATCACTTGTCTGCATTTATCCGGTCTTCCCTGGTGGTGTTGCTATTCCGTCTTTTTCCATTGTTCTCTGTGGTCTGTTGGGTTTGTGCTTTCAAGTTCCGTAGCTCAGATGAGCATCTGGACTGAGCACAGTCAAATCGTCCCTGAGCCGCATGCTGTATTTTCAGGATTTCTGCAAGGCTGACTCCTCCTGACCGCGTCCACACGAGCTTGCCCCTGGAGCTTGCTCCATCTCTGTCCTGCTCGCTGACTTGCTGAAGCCTGCTCTCATCGGGCACTTCCATACACCTGCCTGTGGGCGATCCTTGTCCCCCACTCTGCTTCTGAAGAAGGTCTTTTTTTTCCTGTTTGCTCTGTCTCCCAGC